TGAAAGCTGCTGCGGGTACATTTCCAACATGGAACACTCACCACAAACTCCTCCAGCACGAGGCGCAGCGAGCAGCTGAGCGCCAGCAGACGCCAGGGGAGGAGAGCCAAGACGGCGGCGCCTTTTAGGAGCAACGCTGTCCCAGGGACCCTCAGGCGCACCAGGAGTCCGACATTGCTGAGCGCACCGTTTTGCTTCTCTCTCCTCATCCCAGCAGCCACTGCCGGGTTTATGTGCTCGAGCTGCCTCCTTTTTTCCCCTTTGCTAGTGAAATGATGGCGGGAGGTTTGCTAGAAGCAGTGGCTACAGGACAGGTTCCTGGGTCTGAGTCCTGATGAACCTCTTAGTTGGGTTCTGCAGTCTTGGGCAAGTTTCCAAATCTCTCTCTGCCTAATGAGGGGTGCAGCGGGGTGGGCGATGAGCTGTCAATCCTGTCAAAAATAGGTGTGAAAGGGCGCGAGGGGCCCTTAACCTGAGGTCCAGGGATAGGCTTTCAGAGGTCTTCAAAGTCTCGGAATTCTACGCCACATAAATAAATATTAAGTAGATATGCAGAGAAGGAAACGGGTCACACCGTGTGGGATGTTGATTTCCTGCGAGGGAGCAGCCAGGAGTGAAGCCAGTTTCCAGGCCCTTACTGGATCTACCCATTTGTCTGAGGGTTCTCACTCTGAGGATGCATTTACATCCTATTTGTAGAAATAAAGTATCCTTTAACCAAAGAAAGCGCCCGCAACGTTGCTCAAGGCTACGTATACATGCATTTTCCTTGGACAATCAACGTTGAGTGCTGCTTTCCTCAGGGGTGTAATAGAGTTAGCAACCTCCAAAAGTTAACAAAGGGCTGTGATTTCACGCAGGAAAGTGGGTAGGCCTGGTACTGGACACCAGTGCTCCTCCCTTCCCTCCCCATGCTGCCCTGGGCTGCCTTGGCCTGCTGCCTGGCTTCTGGCTGCTGAGGGGGCATGGCTGGGTCATAGTTCTCCTCAGGCTGCTGTGTCCTATCTCTGTCTCCGGGTTCCAGGAAAGGCTTCCTGCCCTCGCCCCTTCAGACCGGGCCCCAGGCACTGCCGGATCCTTTGTGGTATCCTTGCACCCTCCCAGCAGCACTCCCTGTATTAAACTCTCCTCAAATTACCCAATTTGCATGTGCCATCTGTTTCCTGCTGGGACCCTGACTGATACAGTATTTTTAATTTGTCTTTGTACCATCTCTGCCTATACACTCACACCCACACACATCTATTCACTGACACACTCAGGCATGCGCACACACGCACGCACACATTCAGTCACTCACAGACACATACCCACACTCACACTCACTCACCCACAGACACTCACCCTCACTCACAAACTCACACGCAATATTCACACACGGCAGTGCCAGTGCCCAGCTCTGGGAAGTGGAGTGCTCTGGTAAACTGAGGGCCCCCTCTGTGTGGCAGGAACTGACCCCTGCAGGAACACTAACACTGGGGTGCCTGTCACCCTTGCACCATTGAATTGGTGACTCTGGCCAGTTCTTATTTTCAAAAATGCTGCCCTTTGCCCACTGCTAAGCCAGACGAACGCACCAACTGCACACTCTCAAGGTACTTGGAAAGAGGCTTCTTAAAAATACCAAGTTAAAAAAAAAACCACACCCACAAATAAGCTAAAGCAGCCCCTGGAGTCTTTAGCCATGCAGAATAGACTTCGGAGTAAAATAAAATCTTTCCAGCAAATTTTAGGGCGGTAGGGACAGACGGAAACCTTCAGATCACATAAACGAAGGTAAGCTTCGATGGACAGCGCCAGGTACTTTGGGTGGGGGTTGAAGGGAGACACATTTTGGCTCAATACAAGGCCATCTTGACAAGAATGGGAGGCCATCCGATGACGGACAGGCCATCTTGTGAAGTGGTCCCTTGTCTAGGGCTGCTTTGCCGAGAGACGGATGTAGGCACCGGGAGCAAACGGCCTCTCAGGCTACTCTAAGATGCACCCGTGACCTTGGGCACATCACTGCCCCTTTGAAGTTTCTACTTCCTCATCTGTAGAATGACCGCCTCTCCGTCTAGGTGTCTCCAAGGGGTTCTCAACAGCTAGAGCTTCTCTAAATCTCGGATTCTGCAGGCGAAGAGCCTCCAAAAATGGGGGTGGGGTTTGGAAAGGAGCCGCAGAAGTAATTAGTGATGGAAATGCGAGTCTCTAGCTGCCTCTGGATGCCTGAGTTTGCATATTAAACAAGGCTGAATCTTGGCTGAAGGATTCCATTCCTTCCAGAGCAAAAGGCAACAAACTGTAGGACAGGATGGCAAGACGCTGAAAAAAACCTGGCCCCTGTCAGAGAGGCAGAGGAATGTGTTTGGGAGACAAAAGGCCAGGCTATGTCCCGTGGCCCACCAGAAGCTAGCTGCTCGCCCACGAGCACATAGGCATACGTTTCTGCGGATTAGCCATGTGACTAGCCTTCCTGGTTGGGGTGGACATCGTTCAAGAAAATATGTCTGCAGGCAGGCTCCCACGCTTACTGGCTCGGTGACACTGGGAAACATAGTTAAGTCTGCGCGCCTCACTTTTCTCTCCTGTGAAGTGGGGGGTTGTAGCGCCTCCCTGTGGAGAGTGGGGGTGGGGAACGACGAACCACAGGGCACAGACACTTTGCACATGGTGCCCAGGATCATTCCTACCTACAGGGAGCTGATGGGGTTCTCAGGAGCAGCATACTTCGTACCCATCCCAGGAACTGCCCTGTGCCCATGCTGACCCTGGCTGTGGCCCTTTTCCCCCCTCTCAGGGTTCAGAAAGGAGGCCCTATGTGGGCTCCTAGCTTAGCCTTGGGTGTCCATGTAGCTCGAAGACAGCATGAAGGTGAGTGGGTAGACACCCAAGGGAGTGACTTCAGGGAGCTTGGGCAGAGCCCTCTGATTGCTAAGGCCATCAGATACTCCCCACACCAGTGCTATTCCTCTGGGAAGTCTTTTAAACCACAGGATCAGATTGGGCAGCTTCGCCCCCTCATATTCTGGCTGGAGGTCTTTGGTGTGGAGGCCACACCCCTCAGATGGTTCCCCTAGGCCCCCAGGGATTTATGTACTCAGGATCCTTAGAGATCTCTGACCTGTCTCTCCAAAGACAAGCTTACGTAGGACCCGTCTGCCTCACATCCTGCTGTGCCTAGGCGAGGTGTGCGTGCATTCGTGAGTGTGTGTGTGTGTGTGTGTGTGTGTGTGTGTGTGTGTACCACGGTACACTACATTGGAGACAACGAACTCCATCCAAACCAATTCTTTAAATGAAAGACATTGCTCTAAAGCTGTGACACCACTAGCCAGGGTCTTCCCAATAGTTACTCCCTTCATAAGCTTTTCTGCCAAGTAAGTTATTTGCAGGATTGAAGAATTCCCAATGGCCAGGGGGAAGTTACGAAGATGAAAACTTGCAGTTTAGATCATGAGAATTTTATTAATATGTTTCTATTTTAAGCTATCATATGAAATCCTTTGTATTGATTTCAGTGTGATGTACCCGACTGAATAAATATGCCAATTTCTGCGAGGGAGCCAAACAGTATTTTTAAACTACTTTAAAATATGTGTTGTTTCCTATGATTTTTTAAAGTTGGGAGTTGATTATGAAAGCACTTTCAATTTTTTTTAAAAAAACGTTCTTCTTTCCAGAGATTACACATGCATATGTTAAACGATTACAGATAAAGCTTAATGGAATGGATAATTACCTTTTCAAGCCACAGATAAAGGTAAAAAAAAAAAAGGTGAAATGATTTTTGGGGGGCTTATGTATGTCATTATATTGTGAAATACCACTACAACAAAGGAGATTTGAGTAGCAATTCCTTGAACATATAGATGTAGTATGTTCTTATAGGGATTTTCCCCTGATCACTGCCTACTTAGCTAATTAGCCTGTTCGGTGTATAACACAGAGTCCTGAGGGCCCTGCCAGAAACGTCAGGATCTTCAAAAATTAAGGGAAAAACAGAACAGAGAGCTAAAGCTTTTCAGACACTGGCTTGATAGGATCCTGGAGATAATGATACCATTGCCCTTTCACGGATGGGAAAGGAGGGGGAGGGGGAGAAGGTCAAGGGCTTGCTTAAGGGTTTTCAGCTGGTTCCCAGTAGCTTCTCCCGGGTTCTTCTCGTTCCCTGTCTGCAAAGTGGGAGGGGGGAGGGGGGCCTCTTGTGTCTCAAGGCCTTCAGGGATGTCAATGAGATGCTAGAGACTGGCCTGAGTTCCTGTTGGAAAGGCCCTGAAGAGCGAATGCCCACTGTAATTGCTACTTGTGACTCCAGTGACATTTCCTGGTTCTGGACAGAAATACAGAATTCCCATCTGGGAAGATGGTACCAGCTGTTGCCCTTGCTCTGCGGAGCGCGAACCCTTAGGAAATGTAGGCGCAGAAGAAGGGGTGGGCTGCCCAGGCGTGGCCTCGGCACCTTCCGCCCTCAAAGCCAGAGCGGAAAAACCGAACTCAGCATCACAGAACCCAACACTTCAGGAGACCCTGGCCATCTGGCCTCACCGCCCACCGCCGGCCCGAATCCTCCCTGCGGCCGGAGCCATGATCTCACCGGATGGCCTGTCTGTCTCCGACAGCTGCCCGTTTGGAAAGTCCTGCCTCATTTTGAACAGAAACCTGATGGGGGAACATGGGCCCTTTTCCTGCCAATACGCGTTGTTTCTTCAGATGCAGTTTTTGTTTTTTTTAACATATTTCACTGATTTTTCTTTTCTTTTTCTTTTTTTTTACAGAGAGGAAGGGAGAGGAATAGGGAGTTAGAAATATCAATGAGAGAGAAACATCGATCAGCTGCCCCCTGCACACCTCCCACTGGGGATGTGCCCGCAACCAAGGCACATGCCCTTGACCGGAATCGAACCTGCGACCCTTGAGTCCTCAGGCCGAGGCTCTATCCACTGAGCCAAACCGGTCAGGGCCGGATGCAGTTTTTAGAACGGCCCTTGCCTCTTGGCCCTGATGCCCCTGATTACCTGAAGTTGTAGCCCGGGGAGACGCTGCTCTTCTCAGAAACGCTGTCCAGCCGGGTGAAGGAGTATTTGGGGATGCACTGCTCCCAGGCCTTGTCCAGGTCGCACACCCAGCCGATCTTAATGCCCAGAACCCCGCCCTGCAGAAAGGGGGCAGGCGTGAGCCTCCCGCAGCCCTCCGGTGCCCTCCTCATCGGGGTGGGGGTGGGGAGCACCACCAATAAGACATGGGAGTGCTCTGCATGCTCAGGTGGAGGGCGCAGGTGGCGAGAAAGAAGAGGGAGGTGTCATACGGTGTTGCTGAGGAGGGAAGTCCCGAGGCTCAGGGTGAGCCCCGGGGGCGCTAAATCCTGCTTTTGGTGTCGTCAGCCCCTCACCTACAGCACGGGAGGAAGTGGCACCGATGCAATGTCCAGAGCCCCAGGCTCTCTGTGTGCAGGTGACGTGTGAAGACGGGAATGGGAAACGGGCCTTGCGGGGAAGGGTGAGGGGGCAAGACCGCCCAGGACAGGTGGCAGGACTGGGATGCTTCCACCAGGGGGCGCTGCCTCGCCGCTGCTCCGCTGGCCCAGCATCCCCGCCCGCCCAAGGGTCCCCAGGTCCGCGGAAGGGGGGGCAGGTCCTCACCGTGCTGGCCAGTTTGGCAAAATCCTGCCCCGCAAACTTGACCACATCCCCCACCCGCAGGATGGGGCAGAAGGGGGCCTGGTCAGGGTGGAAGCGGCAGGTCTTCATGTCGGCGGCGGTCAGATTGGGCAGGAGGTTTCCCCTGGGAAGGGAGGAGGGAAGGAGAGAGGCCAGGCCCAGGGTCAAGGTGGAGACAGGCCTCCCTCCACAAGGTTCTCTCCAGCCTGCCCGAGCCCCAGGGCCCTTCCGCGCGCCCAGGCAGGGGGCCTCACTGCTGTCCCAGCATCGTCCTCCTGTCACCCTCTCTCCCATCTCAGGGTCGTGAGTGCTCGTGTCTAATGACCCTCTCCCAGGCCGGGGTGGGGGTCGGGGGCTGGCAGAGACACTGGCCCGAGTCCACCTGAGACTCAGTGGTCAGGGCTGGCGGGGAGACCTGGCTGGGAGATGGGGGTCAGGAGCCCCGGGGAGTCCGGGAGAAAGTGGGGAGAACCCCGTGGTGACCGGCATCGCCTCCCCTCTGAGAACGAGGGGTGGGCGCACTGCCTCTCGGCTTCAGGGAGGAGCGAGGACTCACTTCTCAAAGTTGAAGAGGGGGAAACGGATGCTGTTCTTGATGAAAATAGTGAAGTTCTCGGCTTCCATCATGACAGGCCTGTGTGAGCACAGAAGGAAGGGGCAGGGGAGCAGGGAGCCCCCACCGGGGGCCACCCTCCCTGGTGGACATCGCCCAATGGGCACGTGGCCCGGGCCTCTCCGGTCTGAGGGTCAGAGGATGAGAGTGGCAGGTGAGTCGAGCTGGGAGGAAGCTGGACACTACAGGGGGTGGGTGTCCACAAGACCCCCTGCAAGCTCAGAGGTGCGGGGTGGGGGGGCCACGGTAGCCCAGGGGAGCCTGGGTGGGGGCTCTCTTCCCGCCGGCCGCAAGCCCTCACCTTTCCACTGTGTCCACCTCGGCAGGGCACCAGCCCTGGATCTCACAGGTGCGGAGCTCGGAGCTGTAATTCACGCAGCGGCCGGTGAGGATCCCTGGGAGGGTGGGGACAGTGCTGTGTGCTTGTCTGGCCCTTTGCCATGCCTTTCCCCCACTCCACCCCTCCTCATCAGAGACGCCCCCCAAATACACACACACACACACACACACACACACACACACACACACACAGGGATCCTGCAGGCGGACAGAAAGGACAGGCAGCAAGGGAGGTCCCCGGTGGCACATTGGCCCCGCAGAGCTCTCCCTGACCCTCCCAGCCCTAGACAAGCCTTGGGAGGTGACCTCTCCTCTCACAGGTCCCAGGCCCCCAGCCACAGCAGGCTGCTCCTTGCCTCCGAGGCTTTGCTGACTGTTCTTTCTGCCTAGGATGCCCCCTTCAAAGCCCCTCTGTCCTGCCAAATCCTTCCGTCCCACAGGGTCCTTCTCAAATGTCACCGCCTCTAGGAAGCCATTTGGGACCCATCTCTTCCTTCCCCTGGCTCCTCCTTGACATCACTCGCCACCTCATGGCACGGCTGTCACCCCCATCCCTGGACTGGAACTCCTCTGGGGTCCCCTACCATTGGGGTTGTGAGGGGGTGGGGAAGGGGCTCCACTCACCCCCACTCGGGAAGCGCTCGGGCCCGCACTGGCTGTCTGATACACAGCGGTACTTGTCCTCGCTCTGAGGGGAGACAGGTCCACGGGTGGGTGAAGGGCCCCGGGCCGGCCTGGGTGAGCCCCTTGGTGCCCACTGCCTCCCCACAGTCGGGGGCCTCTGGGGGGGGGGGCGGGTGGAGGTCCTAGGCTGGACCTAGGACCTCTGCTTACACCCACGCCCCTCCCTGCCACCACTCCCCTCCAGCGGCTTCTTCCTTGACCAGCTTCACCCAACCTCCCTCCCCCGCCTCACCTCTGGGCAGAACCCTTGCATCTGGTTTTCAGTGACGATCATCTTGGTGATGATGACAAAGACGGAGGTGCCCTTGGGAGAAGGAGGAGAGGAAAACGCAACAGTGCCAGTTCGTGAGGCGGGGACTCTTGTTATCCCCACTCTACATAGGGGGAAACCGGGGCTCTTGCTGATTGGGCCAAGGTCACAGGTCAATAAAGGCAGACATGGGCTCTAAAACCAGGCTCTTCCAATACCCCCTGGCCCCTCACGCTGCCTCTGTGTGTTGTCCTGATCACAGGACAGGTTGTGGCAGAACAAGAGGATGCCCGGTGCTGACTCAGGAGGGTAACCCCCCTCCCCCAGCCACTGCTCTGGGTCACTGATGCACAGGGTCTCTCCGCCAACCTGCCCAGGTCTGGGCGTCGACACAGCCACCTACCGTGGGGGGGGGGGGGGGCCATACCTGGGGTGGTGTCACATAGTCAGACACATCCATGACTCTGTTGGCGTAGCGTCCAAAGCCCTTCACCTTGGTTACCACGGAGGACTCAATGGATGTGTCCCGCACCTGGTACGCCTTCTCGTGCAAGAAAACCCACCTGGGCAGAGAGCGGGGTGGAGAGCAAGAGAGAAGGGTGTAGGCTCATCAGACAGAGGCTGGAGGGGTTGCCTTCCTGCCGACATGGACCACGGGGGCCTGGCAGGGGAGGCGTGTGTGCGTGGGGGGGGGGGGGGCGGGGCGGGGGAGGGGGGCTTCACAGTGAGCTCTGGCTTGGCTTAGACCACTGTTCTCCATCCTTTCCCCATTTCCTGCCGAAGGAGCATTTTTACACTTTTCCCCATAATCGTCCTCCCTCCATGAAATTTTAATACTCGTCATATCAATTTACATACTATATGTATATTTGCACTTTACACACAAAAAGAGACTCTTTTATTCTTCAGAAACCAATCCTCACCCCTTGAGGGTGCTATCACCCCCTCGGAGAACGCATTATCGTTCCTGCAGATGACAGAGGTCTCCTCCCCGGCAGGAACCTGAGACAGGAGGTGCAGAGGCTCCTCGCCCCCGACTCCTGCATCGAAGCTTTGTGCATGGCTGCATCCTAAGTGCCCGCACACAGCAGGTGTTAGTGAACAAGTCGATGCAGATGCTTGGGAACTGGGCACCTGGCAGAGTCTCCATCTGTGCGAGCCTCAGGTGAGGGGGGAGGAGGGAGGGAGGGGCAGCGGCTGAGCCTTTACCTGGCAGGTGGACGGAGTTGGGCTGGGAGGGAGGAGCCTCTAATCTTATTCCTTGGATTGTGCTGTCACCTAGTGGGCATTTACCTGCATTGCCTTCTTTTTGCTGCTTCCAGCCATTATGGGATCAGGGAGGGACCCTTGCCTTCTTCCATTCCCACCTGTCTCCTCAGACTCTTGCAGCCTCCCCAGCAGCAAGAAGGGCCTGCAGACCAGTCTTCCTTCTGCGTTTCTGTGAGGTGCCCGCCTTTCCGTTAGTAATCACCCCCCACCGCCCTCAGGGCTCAAGCCACTCGGCCTCACTCACCACGCTTCCAGCAGGAGGCGCGCTGGGAGGCAGATGCTGTTCCCAGGCCCATTGCACAGGTGAGAAAACCTCACCCCATGTGCTTGGGAAATGCCGCACACTCTCAGTTTTGGAGAAACGTGGTGACGTCTTGTGGAATCCAGGGGCGTGCTTTTGGAATGCCGGATTAGGGTCCTTTCTCATGCTCACCGGGTGGCACAAGACGAGGATGAGCGGAAGGAGCAGGAGACGGTGTAGGGCAGAGAAGACCAATCTGGGGGCTGGGAAGTGCGGAGGGCAGCACGTGGGATGACCCCGAGGACTTTATAACGAGGAGGGGTGAGGACTTCAAGCCCAGGAGCTTTCTCACCCCGAGAGTGGGTGGGGGCTGGGGTGGGAGGTGGTGAGCGCCACAGGCCTGGGGAGTCTCGATGCCCACTTCCCCGGGGGGGGGGGGGGCGGCGGTTGGATTGGGTGGCCTCTGGAATGCCCCGATGCTGGGAGATGCCAGGGGGTGAGTCATGTGTGGGATGGGCACCTGCCCACCATGCCTGTTTGAACATGGCTGACATTTGCGAGTGACTGCTTGTTCAGTTGTTGGTGAGAGGGTTCAGAGGAACCCCCATGCCAGGCCTCTCTCAGGGGCCTGAATCCTGTGTGTTCTCTTGAGCAGGAGAGGAAGGCTGGGGGCCCAGCCAGCGCTGGCAGGTGGCGCCCAACCTGTCACCTGTCTCATGGTCACGGCCTTATAGCGGCCCATCCTGATGAACGCCTGTTGAGAGCTGTCGGCCTGCCTGTAAGACGCCCTATGAACACCACGCCCCTGCGGAAGCCCAGGGAGCCGTAAGCTGAGCTTCCTTGGCACTTTTATCTTTTTCCTCTTGGAAGGGAAGTGGGTGTTCATCAAGATCTCACAAGGGAGCGTGGCTCACGTAGAAATCTCATCTGCTGTCTTGTGCCCCAGCAAGGGGGGTGGGGGGTGGGCTGGAGTACCTTCCAGAAACGTACCCAAAATGAGCATCCTTGCTCGTGGCTGGGGGCCCTGCAGAGCGGAGGAGGGAGGTCGCGGGCCCCAGCTCTCTGCTCCCAGCCGACAGCGGTGGTACTACTGTGTGCTCACCCCTCCCGCTCCCCCCTGCCCCCCCTCCCCAACCTCAGTGCTTGGCCATGGGATGGAGACATCGCTGAGCACGATCTAATGAAATGGTTTCCTGACACGCACCCCGCCTTCCATCCCCGTTTTTAAAGTTTGGGAACATTTGCCAACGAGAAGCCGAGTTCAGATGGTCAATACCACGTCATCAGCCCAGCACACTATGTGCCGTCTGTGCAGGACTCACCGAGGCCTTACCGCCAGCCCACCACACGGCTTCGTTAGTACCATCACACCACAAATACGGGAACCTGTATGTGGGTTCCAGCCCCCGCGGGCTGCTCGCAATGGCCTCACCACAGGGTCTCCAGCTGTGTCCGGGGTCAGGACCTGGCCACAGCTGGCCTCTGACCTAGATCCTGGTCCTTGTCGGGGGGGGGGGGGAGCATCTCCCTGCGTAGGCCCATCTCCAGAGGCTGGGAGGAGCAACTGACCAATCTCTCTCCTTCCCCAGGGCTCCTTCTTGTGCCCAGTGGGGAGGAGTGGCCACAGCAGGTTTCTCTCTGCGAGTTAAATAACAGGCAGAAGAATCTCAGTGGCCCCGTGGGGCCTGGGCGTCAGCGGGGCAGCTCGAATGCGGGGATGCTTCATTTCCAGAACGGAGGGCTGCGTGGGTCCCTGGAGGCCAGGGCTCAGGCGATGGGGCAGGACCGAGCCTTTCGTTCCTGGCATTGACTCCGCGGCTCTGACTTATTTTTTCTTGTATTCCTGGTTTATTATTTATAGAGCGGAAGGCGGGTGGCAGCTCCTTGGCAGGTGGGGTGTGCAGGGTGGAGCCAGGGAGTGGGTGTGAGGAGGGTGTGCTGTGTGTGCCGGAGGACGGAGGACGGGGTCTCTCTGGGAGCCGGGAGCTGGGCTGAGGGGAAGGGGGAGGCGTGATGGTGGGGTCTGTGCAATAATGACAGTTATCATCTACTACTGAGTCACCCAACTCAGGCGACGAACGGACACGGGTTCCCACCCCTCGCCACTGCTCCCAGGAGAGGCATTCCTGAACCCATTTTCCAGGTACAGCAATGGAGACTCAGAGACGCGAAGTGACCTGTCTGCACCCCACCTCTGGTGTCAGAGGGAGGCTTCTAACCAGGTGTTCCATGCCCCCCAGTCTCCCCATCATAAGGGTGCAGTGAGGCGAGAGGGGACACATGAAAACCACTGCTCTCTCTAAACCTGTACGATGGGGTTCCAGCAGGTCTTCCCACAGTATTGTCACCTAGTGCTTGTCACCTAGTCAACAAGGTGCCTCCGGTACTTCCTTGGGTGAGAGGATGGGGTGGGGGCCAAGGAGGTGGAATTCCAGCCCTTTTCTTAACTAGAGCGCCTCCCCGTTTTAACGGCTTTATGTGCTGTGCTTCCACATAAGATTTGAAATGAGGCAGATCAGACTCTTCATTTGAAATGAAGCAAAGAGGTTGGCTGTGCAAATAGTGAGCTTGTGGGTCAGGCCTTGCGGGGGGGGGGGGGGAGGTGGAGGGGGGGGGGAGTAGGGGTGGAGAGGAACAGGGAGAGCAGGCCTGCAATGGGGCCAGAGGTACCGTCAGCCACCACAGGTCCTTCCGACGGCAGCGGGAGCATCAAAGGGCTGGGATTCCCCTCCCCGCTAGTTTTTGAAAACCAACCTCAGGCCAGGCACTGGCCAGTGTTTATAGGAACTAGGGCCCCAGGGATCTCCTATTCCCTCCTCAGGTCTTCATGGGATCCAGAAAAGAGATTGGATCTTAGGAAGTCCCACCCCATAGAGGAGACTGGATTATCACCTGGGCCCAAGAAAGACAGTGGGAGAAACACCAGGCAGGTCCTGGCCTCTCTGTGCACCTGGACTGGGTAGAGAAACCAGTGATGAAGTGGTGTCAATCACAGACTGAGGCCAGGGGCGGGGGTGAGAGCACGCGTGGAGACGATTAGGGGGTGCGTTGCCGTGAGTGCTTAGGAGAAATGGTTGGCTCATGTCATAGGTCCTAGGCAAGGTTGTGCATCTGGTCTACCCGATGGGCATACAGTGGAAGAAGCGAGTATTAAGCATTAACATCACAGCATTACAAATCCTTTCAAATTCTATTGAGCCCAAGTCACAGTCATCTCTCTCCATTGCCCACCTGTTAACACATTTTCCTGCATCCACTCCTACCTATTCCAATCCCTTGGCATATCAGCCACCAGAGTGGTCTTCTCAATTCATATTTCATCATGTCTGTCTGTTGCTCTCAATCTCTATCACACACACACACACACACACACACACACACACACACACCCTAGAATGTTTCAGTAGCTTCCCTTCCATTCCTCTTCTGTAAAAAGGAAAGACCGGAGGTGTCTGAGATCTGGGGTCCACTTGGGATCCTGCCTCCACCTTACACCCTCCTCCCCTTGCTCCTGCTCCAGCCACAGAGACCTTCTTTTCTTCTCCCCATTAGCCAGGTCCGTTCCCTTTGTAGAGCTGGGCTTCTTTGCCTTGAACTCTCTCCCTTCCCTGGGTTGCTCCAACTCGTCCTTCAGGTCTGGCTTGAATGCCGCATCTGCAGAAAACCTTCCTTAGCTCCCTGACCAAGTCCAATGCCTGCATACTAGCTGCTATCCTAGCACTGTGTCTCTTCTTTCAACCCTGAACCCCCACTGAAATTTTGTATTTGCAGAGATTATTTGATTAGTGCCCATCTCTTGCACTGTAGGCTCCATGAGGGTGAGGACCGTTGTCTGTTTTGGCCCACTGTTCCAGCCTCGGTGCACAATGCCTGGCATGAAGAGACGCTCAATCACTTTGTGCTAAATTAATGGAATCAGGAAATCCTAATGGTGCATGGGCTCATGTGCACAGAGATGGGGCTCAGGCGGGGATTGGGAGGGGGGAGAGCTGGGCTGCGGAGTGCACCCGACGATGCAAATGGAAGAAGCTGCTCTGGGGGGAGCTGTCAGGCTGGGAGATGAATGGGGTTGGATACCAAGACGCCATCTCGTGCTGGCACCAACAGGCCAGGCTCCAGCACCAGGGGTGGTCGGCGCATCAGACCATGGTGAGGGACAGACGGGGCAGTGGGGTGCTGAGCAGGCTGGTCCAGGAGCTGGCTGCCTCTACCCACCACCTCCCGCCAGGAGCCAACAGAGCCGGGCCAGGCTGGCAATGTGCTGAGGCAGCTTTGGGCACCTGCCTGGACCATCATCCCATCGTGTGGCTGCGTGTAAACAGTCACAGCATCACACGTGTATGTGAACACGGACCTTTAGGAACCAACTTTGAGCCGGTCTCCGGAGATGCCGATGTGAAACATTTGCAAACATCTCACAAAACCTCAGACGTGGAAGGGAGCGTCAAGGGCACTCAATCCGAGCCCAGAGCTTGAGTCCCTTCGCTAGTGGCCCTGCGCGCAGCCTTGTCTACAACATCTGCAAGACCGGAGCCTCCTGGCTCTCACCAAGCGCACGGAGCCCAAATCCCTTAGTCCCTGTCTTCCCACCTGTCCACGCACACCCTCCCACGGCTGCGACCTTCAGCAAGGAGGCCCCTCACCCGCAGCTCCAGCCGCATGCACCCAGGATGTCTCCTTCCACTCGCTTGAACTGACTCACGGCAGCCGTCAGTGGCTGGCTGTCTCTCACACACAGACCCATTGTCTCAAAGATCGGCATGAACTAGAGACCTGCACACCAGGAAAGTAAACCCTCGAAGTCCTGACCTGTATTTCCTGGGGCCCGCCAGCGTGTGCGAAGGACCGTGAGAAACGTGTTTCTTCTCTGGCCATCCTGTGCCCCTCGGCCTTTTGTGCATGTGTGTGTGTGTGTGCTTATGTGTGTGGGTGTGTATGTCTCTGTGTGAGTGAGTCTGTGTCTGTGTGTGTATGAGTGAGTATGTCTGGTGTCTGTCTCTGTGTGTGTGAGTGTGCATGTCTGGGTGTGTGTGAATGGGGGGGTGCCTCAAAGAAGTGGGGGCTGAGAGGGGTGTTTAGACCTCACTGGCTCTTAAGTATCTTCCAGGATGGGTTATACAGAACAAAGTCGGGTAGAAGTAGGGAATTTACAGTTTCTGACAACGCGGAGTATTTCTGGCTTCGTGAGGAGGGACACGACACCATATTCAGAAAAGTCACTTTTCTCCTGAAATACTCTTCCCTGGAATGCCATTGATGCCTATGTTCCTCCCTCTCTCCTAAGGGAAAGATCCCCCTGCTTTGTCTGACCCTCCAAGAGCAAGGGCTCCCCCGCTTTCTACAGCCTCTCCCCCCAATGCCCAGAGGGGAGCCCTCATTCTAAAGCAGGTGCAGTTCTCTCCTTCCCACCTCGAAACCACGCTGTCACCATCTCCCTTGCTTCAGTGTCTTCTGTCCCCTTCTGCCCCCCTTGCCTTCTTGCGGCCCCAAAGAACTGACTGAGGTCAGTGGGAAGATGTGTCAGGGGGTCTGGTCTGCCTGCTCTCTGGTTGAGGGTGGGGATGAGAGAAGGGAGAGGGGAGATGGTCCCCTGGGACCTCTCCTGGTGGAGGGTGGTGCCAGGGCAAGGACTCCCCTCGGGGTGTGTGCCTACAGACCACTCTCCAACTGTGGAGGATTCACTGGAGGGAAAACCCATCTTGGGACCAGATCCCCGATGAGGGCGGCAGAGGCCGGTCCTTGAGACACACCTCCACCAAACAGACTGTTTCCCCAAGACAGGAGAAGGAAGCTGGGGAAGCTGGACAGCACCAATGAGGGGAGAAGGGGGCCAGGACACTGGGCAGCCCTCCCCTCCTGGGACCTGAAGGGCCTCAGACTCACCCCACAAAGTAGGAGATGATGAGAAGCTGAACTGCCCGGTTGATGATCCCAATGGTCCAGCTCTTCACAACCACAGACTTGGTGGTCTCGTAGGTAAAGAAATCTGACATGCAGTTCATCCTGGACCGCTCAGAGGGACCCAGTGGTGGCTGCAGGAGGCAGAGGTCCTCAGACCGGGAGACGGGGATCAAGGAGGGCTGGAGGGGGCAGTTTAGAGGGGCTTGTGGAATGGGGAGCCTGCTCCTTTAAGTCAGGCAACCCTAGCCCAGAGCCCAGGCTCACTCTGCTCTTGATGTTCTGGGCTGCCAAGAGTCCAAGGCCAGGGCGGGGGACCCCTTTTTGTTCGTCTCCACCCCACTCCCCTGTGATGTCACAGCAGGGGTGGGGTCTCCAATCCCTGGCTCCTGATTGCCTGCGATCCAGCTGGAGAGGGCCCTCTGGGACTCATGCTTTATCTGCACTCTGGCTACCGTTTCTGTTCCGTTCTCTATGCTGCATCCTCAGCCCAGCTCACCAGCTGCTTTATGCTCTCCTGAAAGCCCCTCACAATGACCCATCCCCCAGCCACCTAATAGCCGCCCTCTAGGAGCACCCCCTTCACTCCAGTCTTCCTAAGCCACTCAGTTCTGCAGCCAGACCCCGCCCCCCCCACCCCCCCTTCCATAGTTGCCTCTAATAGAATGGGTCAGGGGAGGGGTCTCAAACAGCTCTCTTGTTCTCCCGGGAGGGAGTAAGGAATCGCAGTTCACGTTTCTAACTCAAGTTGGCAGTGGCTGAAGCTCTACCTGTAGAGTAGCATTATCCAGTGTTTTTTTGTTGTTATTGTTTTTATGTTTTTGTTTTACTTATCTGAATCATTTGTTAGATTGTATGCTCCTGGAAGGCTGGTGCAGTTTCCATCTTGCTCACTAGTTTCCTTAAATCTTAGAACTCTGTTGGCGCTCAATATGTATTTATTTATTTATAAATATATTTTTATTGATTTCAGAGAGGAAGGGAGAGATAGAAACATACATGATGAAATTTTTAAAAAATATATTTTTATTGTTTTTAGAGAGGAAAGGGGAGAGAGAGAGAGAGAGAGAGAGAGAGAGAGAGAGAGAGAGAGAGAGAAACACCAGTGATGAGAAAGAATCATTGATCGGCTGCCTCCTGCACGCCCCCTACTGAGGATGGAGCCTGCAATCCGGTCATGTGCCCTTGACTGGAATCCAACCTGGGACCCTTCAGTCCGCAGGCCGACACTCTAGCCACCAAGCCAAACCAGCTAGAGCTCAGTATGGATTTACGGAATCCAGTTGAACAACGTTGCTAGTGCTGCAAAGGCCATTCCCCAGAGGGCAAAGCCACGAGTTCAGGGAGCAGTGGTGCATACCCTCGGTCTCGCACCCTGGGATTGAGCCACCAAGCTGGTCTAACTGCTTTAAGACGGATTGTCAGAGACATCTTGAGTTTGAATATTCTGTCCCGTGTCTTCATGCGGACACATTACCGATCATTCCGGATGTACTGTCATGTGCTTATGACAGAAGAGAACTGGACTGGGTTTGGGTTCTAGGCTCTGGCTTTGCTCCCAACTCCCTGAGACCCTGGTCGGCTCCTCTTCGGGCCTCAGCCTTGCCACCTGCAAAAGGAGGTTGGAGCAGACAAAGTCAGACGTGCCTTCCAGGTCTGGCCCGCTTTGATTTCCAAGATGCATCCTAGGACTACAGGAGGGGGCATGGCTCCGGCACTCTCAGGCTGATGCGGTTTCACATCAGTTTTGGCTCCAAGGTGCCTCTGACGCCAGCACTTGAACTTGACACCAGCCTCTTCCGGGCGATCCATACATTGTGGTTAGAGAAGTGAGGCTTTTGGGCGCGGACAGTGAACTCATCTCCAAAAGGATCCAATCCCATGTGATCCCGGGGAGGGCAGGGCCGTCACGGCGACACCAACACCCGCGTTCTCTTCGCCGCCGGTGGGAGGCGTCACTTCTCTCCACAAGTCAAAGTATTTTTCTTCTTGGCCCACAGACTTCCTTCCACTCCACAAAAACCACGATTGTGCAGAAGAGAGGGTCAACGTCCACCTAACACACGCATCTGTGGAAAGCCCGCTAAAGGAAAACTACACTTTTCCTCTTTAGGAAGCTGGTCCTTCGCTGAAGCAGTGCCTGTAGTTTTTAAAGAGCCTTACGCGTTCCCATTTCCTAGTCCGACACCACGCAGTTGGGACTTCCTCGCCGCCCGGCTGCGCTCAGGTCCTCCAGACCCGCCGACGCTCTAGGTGACCGCCTCGCAGGCCGGCCGGGCTCGCGCCTCTCTAGCCAGCTCGTCCTCTCTATGGTACGGAGACAGCTTCCGGTGGCGGGACGCTGGGCGGCGCACGCGGGAAAAGCTTCCCCAGTGTACCCCCCCCATCACCCCGTGCCCCCGCCCCCTCCCCCGCGTCCCTCAGCGCGCCCACCGCCCGCACCGGGGCCGTCGCGAGGCTGCTGCTAGAGGAGGTGGGTGGTCGCCGTCCCCGTGCCCCAGGGAGGGTCGAGTCCTGCTCCCCCGCGGAACACTCCAGATGGGCCGTTCCGCGTTCGAATCCGCGGGCAGCGGGCGAATCCACTTTATGGGGCGGGGGGACCCGGGGCTGGGGCCGCGACGCGGTGGGAGCGCATGCAGTTGCTGGGAGGGGACCCCTGCACCCTGAGCTGGGTTAGGGCGCGGGCGAAGTGCGGGCCCCGGGCTGGCCCGGGGGTACCATGGGCTGCTCGTTGCCATGGCGCCCGGTGGAGCGCCCAGAGCCTGTGTCTGGTTGGGGTGTAAGTGCGACGCCAGGCCCAGTTCTCTGGTCGGGGCTGGGTCTGGCCCCTCGAGGTCTGCGGAGCCCACCTGAAGGCTCGCAGGCACAGCCATGGGCTGCCACCTGGCCCGATCCGTGGGCAGAGTGAGGTGTTGTCTTTCATGCTCAGGTCTCTCCCTCTTGAATTCAGATTTCCAACCTGCTGAGGGAGTATCTGCACACCCATCCAGGATTTGGGGCCCAGCTCCCGGTTGAGGCCAAAAGGGGCAGTGAGCATGGCAGAAACACTGGAGTTCAACGACATCTACCAGGAGGTGAAAGGCTCCATGGTAAGAAGGGCTTGCGCTTTTGATGGAGGTGGGGAAGCGGGAGCGCGGTAGACTTTCCGCCCATTCACAAGAGCTTGCTTGGATCGCGTTGCTACTTTGGAAAAGGAGTCAGAGTGTCATGTACTTGGTGTTGCCCCAACAAAAGGCGACAGTGAGAAAGTACGAGAGTTACAGGGCCTCAGAGTTTGAAGGGACCGTGCCTGCTGTTCAATCCAGAATCCCGAAACGGAGGACCTGCGCGGGTTCTGGATGCCAGAGCCAGGATTAGGATCCGGGCTGCCTGGCTACTTGTCCCTTTTGTGCTGGCCCCCAGCACTTCAGCTGTTGCTTCTGGATCGATCCCTGGCCAGCCTAGAATGATGCATTCGGACCCCTTTTTCCAACAGAACGATGGGCGGCTGAGGTTGAGCCGCCAGGGCATCATCTTCAAGAACAGTAAGACGGGCAAAGTGGACAACATCCAGGCTGGGGAGTTGACGGAAGGCATCTGGCGCCGTGTGGCTCTGGGCCATGGACTTAAACTGCTCACAAAGAACGGCCACGTCTACAAGTATGACGGCTTCCGAGAATCGGTGAGGTGTCCTCTTGCCGTAAACCCCCTTTTAGGGTGCCATCTGGTTTCATTTGAATCTTCTAGAGAGAGTTGGGTCTCCTTCCTGTGGCCACCACGCAGTTGCTGGTTTGAGCTCCGTCGAGCAGGGCCATTGATTGAGGCCACCAGGCAATGAGTGTTCAGCTTCGGGTGTCAGAGCCTGGAGTGTTGTTGTGCCTTGACTTCCAGAAGATTTTCTGCCGTTTTTATTTTATTTTTTTTTGGTTTCTGCTGTTGCCTTTATTCAGGTGCAGAGTCTTAGTTTGATGCGTTAGTTCAGGTTTTGTTTTTCCACGTTGAACTGCCTGAGTTGAAGACTTTACTTCATTTTAATGTCCACTTCCTTCTAATGTTCACTTTCATTAAAGCAATATCTGCACCAAGATAGCACTGTGAGGCCCATAACCACGAGCGGTCAGTTCCTTACTCTACTCTTCCCCTCCCAGAGATCCAGTCCCCAGAAACAACCTCTTACAGTGTTTTATAGCTGAGATTCTAAATCAGCATGGATTTCTGATAAAAGGTATATTGGGGCAATTTCTCAGAAATAGATAATTGCAGAATGTTCAAGCTTGTGTTAAAACCATCAGTGTTACTGGGATTGTTCTCTCCGCTCCACCCACAGGAGTTTGAGAAACTCGCTGATTTCTTCAAAACTCACTATCGCCTTGAGCTAATGGAGAAGGACCTATGTGTGAAGGGCTGGAACTGGGGAACGGTGAAGTTTGGTGGTGAGTCCTGGGCCAGGTTGAGGTTTGGGGAGAAGGTAGGATGAGGGTGGCAGCCTTTAACTTGTTTCTTTCTGTCACTGTCTCTGATTTCCTCTTGTAATTCATCATGTATTTATGAAGGACCACCGTGCCTGGTCTTGGGGGTGCAGTGTGAACAGGGTAGCCCTGTCCCCAGGGAACTTGTGTCTGGTGGGAACGTGGTTTAGGTAGACTCGAGGGGAGGAGCTGTGGCTTGATCGCCCTTTCCCCACAGGGCAGCTGCTTTCCTTTGACATTGGCGACCAGCCGGTCTTCGAGATACCCCTCAGCAACGTGTCCCAGTGCACCACAGGCAAGAACGAGGTGACACTGGAGTTCCACCAGAACGACGATGCAGAGGTCTCGCTCATGGAGGTGCGCTTCTACGTGCCCCCCACCCAAGAGGATGGCGTGGACCCTGTTGAGGTGAGGCCTCCTGGTCACTTTGGGGGCAGATGGTGCCAAGCGGGCCTGGCTGGCCTGGGAACAGGTCCTGCTGCTCCATTACCAGTGTGTGCTTTCGCAGGCCTTTGCCCAGAACGTGCTGTCTAAGGCGGATGTGATCCAGGCCACTGGAGACGCCATCTGTATCTTCCGGGAGCTGCAGTGTCTGACTCCCCGAGGACGGTACGACATTAGGATCTACCCCACCTTTCTGCATCTGCACGGCAAGACCTTCGACTACAAGATCCCCTACACCACGGTGCTGCGCCTCTTTTTGCTACCCCACAAGGACCAGCGCCAGATGTTCTTTGTGGTGAGCAGAAGGCACTGGGAGTGGGTTGGCCTGGGTTCTCCCGAGGCTGGCAGGTGGATTTCACTGGGGTTTAGTTCATCAGCGAGTTCTCGTGGGGCTTCGACTGGTGCTAAGCCTTGTTGGCTCTTCCTTACCAGATCAGCCTGGATCCCCCCATCAAGCAAGGCCAGACCCGTTACCACTTCCTGATCCTCCTCTTCTCCAAGGATGAGGACATCTCCTTGACTCTCAACATGAATGAGTGAGTGCTCCCTCATGCCTGCCCCTGCCTGCAGGAGGTCGGTGTGCACTAGGAGGCAGCTGTGCTCGTGATCTCATCTTCCCCTGTTTGCAGGGAAGAGGTTGAGAAGCGCTTTGAGGGGCGGCTCACCAAGAACATGTCGGGATCCCTCTATGAGATGGTCAGCCGGGTCATGAAGGCACTGGTGAACCGCAAGATCACAGTTCCGGGCAACTTCCAAGGGTGAGCGTGCAGGCCCGGGTCCTGGGCTGCGGGGATGGGCTGTGCCATGTCTCCTGGGTAAGCCCCCCCTGGGATGGGAGCACGGCTTCTCAGAGGCCTGGTTGGGTTGTATCTTGATGGTGTCAGTCACCTTCATTAGAGCAGCTTAGTGAGGTTCACTCACTTGAGGGCCTGAGCAGATATACTCCCGAGAGATGTTCTCTGTGGCTCTGTGCCACCTGCTGCCTCAGGCACTGACTGGGCTCCCTGTGCCCTCCACCAGGCACTCCGGGGCCCAGTGCATCACCTGCTCCTACAAGGCGAGCTCAGGACTGCTGTACCCGCTGGAGCGGGGCTTCATCTACGTGCACAAGCCACCCGTGCACATCCGCTTTGATGAGATCTCCTTCGTCAACTTTGCCCGTGGCACCACCACCACGCGGTCCTTTGACTTTGAAATTGAGACCAAGCAGGGCACTCAGTATACCTTCAGTAGCATTGAGAGGTGAGAGCCTCTGCCAGTCCCTTCCTGGGTATCCTGGTCCTTACCCAGTCTTGACTGGGAGGCCTGGGACCCCCCCCCTGGCCTGTGACTCGTCCCTGACCTCTTGCCTTGAGCAGAATTTTTCTTTTGCTTCTTTGGGATTTGGCTCTTCTCTTTGAAGTGCTCAGCCTTTGGAAGCCTCTGCATTGTGTTTTTTTCTTTTCTGTCCTTAACAATATTGTTTTCCATATTACTGAAGCTCTTGTTCAGTACTAGCCCTCTCCTCCTCCACTCCCCCATGACGGAAATGCTATCTTTCCCTTTCCTGGAATAAGCTCGGTGCCCAGAACACAGCAGCTAATGTTTATCGAGTGCTCGCTGTTTCACACTTAATCCTCATAACAACAGTGAAGTACGAAATACAATCCGGTCAAAAGATGACATCCCCTCCCCTCGCATCCTCCCCCTACTCGTGCACCCCTCCCCACCTGTTCTTTCTCAGAACTCTTGAGAGCTGTACAGGTTCCTCTTTTAAGACTAGTGTCAGACTCTTTGCTGCTGTCCTCCGCGTGTCTCTGAGCTGTTGGGTTGGATAGCGTGGTCAAGAGCTCCAGGCCCCATCGTCTGTCCTGGTCCATGGTTGTCCTCCTCTCATTGGCCCTGCCTGTCTGGTAACTGCATCTCCCCCCACAGGGAGGAGTATGGGAAGCTGTTTGATTTTGTCAATGCAAAAAAACTCAACATCAAAAACCGAGGATTGAAAGAGGTACTGCCGTGTGTGGAAAGGCTGAGCCTCTCCCGTTCTTTCTGTGGTGGGGGGAGGGGCAGGGACTCCTCCGGCTTTTTTTCACTCTCCCTTCTCTTCTTACCCTTATAGAAGAAAGAGGTGCGTGTGACCCTTCCCCTCCTGATGCAGGTTTCCTCGCATGACCTTAGATCAGTCTCTGCCGCCCCCAGGAGCCCCCAGTGGGGCTGGGAGAGGGAGGAGCTTGGACTAACCCAGTTGGCAGGAAGTTTTCGGGGCATAGGCCCTGCACGCTGGCTGTGTGTGGACAATTCAGCCCCAGCTGGGGGCTGTTGCTCTGATCTTACAGGCATGGGGGCGTGCTTTTGAGTGTGCCGGGGTTCTGGCACCTGGGCGAGTGGCCCTTACTCCCATCTCTTCCCTGCCTAGGGCATGAACCCAAGCTACGACGACTATGCTGACTCTGATGAAGATCAGCACGATGCCTACTTGGAGCGGATGAAGGAGGAGGGCAAGATCCGGGAAGAGAATGCCAACGACAGCAGTGATGACTCAGGAGAAGAAACCGGTGGGCTAGCTTCGGCAGTGCTGGGGCGTGGGGCTGTCAGACTCTTCCAGCCAGAGCCAGGTGTCTGGGTCAGGGGAGGGGATTTCCATGGGGCAGAACTGATGAATCCTGTGTTCCTTTTCAGATGAGTCTTTCAACCCAGGTGAAGAGGAGGAGGACGTGGCAGAGGAGTGAGTTTTGGGTCCACCCCATGGGGGTGGCTTGTGAGCTTAAAGGGACCAGAGATATCTGGCCATTTCTTGCGTCCCCAGCATAAGCTACTGATCCAGGGTAGAAAATGACCTTCAGTGAGGTGATAGGTGGAGATGATGCTTTGAAAATCGTCAAGTGTATAACCCTAACTGGTTTGGCCCAGTGGATAGAGCGTTGGCCTGCGGACTGAAAGGTCCTGGGTTCAATTCTGGTCAGGGGCATATGTCCAGGCTGCGGGCTTGATCACCAGTAGGGGGCATGCAGAAGGCAACCGATCAATGATTCTCTCTCCTCATTGATGTTTCTATCTCTCTCTCCCTCTCCTTTCCTCTCTGAAATCAATAAAAATATATTAAAAAAAGAAAGAAAGAAAATAAAATCATCAAGTTTCAGTGCAAGACACGTTGTGAATCCAGAAAAGGGTAGTGGTAGAGGCTGGGCTGAGATTCAGCCAGTGCTCCCACTTACCAGCTCAGAGTCCTTAGGTCATTGAATCTCAGCTTTTCCATCTGTGAAATGGCAGTAGTGCCCCCATATTGATCAAGACTTTTGATTGCCAGTGTCAGAAATATATCACAAACCGACTATAGCATAGAAGGGAATTTTGTGAGTTCTTGTAATTGGAGAGGCCAAGGGATAAGATTGGCTTCAGGCACCTGGATCAAGGTGCTCAGAAGCCATGGAGAATGTGTTTCTGTTCCTTCTGATTTCCATATTTTTATTGATTTCAGAGAGGAAGGGAGAGAGAGAGAGAAACATCAACAATGAGAAAGAATCATTGATCAGCTGCCTCCTGCATGACCTTTACTGGGGATTGAGCCCACAACCCGGGCATGTGCCCTTGACCGGAATTGAACCCAGGACCCTTCAGCCTGCAGGCCAATGCTCTATCCAGTGAGCCAAACCAGCCAGGGCTGATTTGCTTATTTTAGTAGGTTTGTTTGCCCCATGCAGTGCCAAGCGACCCTTGGAAGCCTCAGAGGCTTAGTCCAACTGGTTTAACACCAGGAGTACCTCTGCTCTCAGGCAGCAGTGAGCAGGTGGTTACGTGGCCCTTCTGAACCTGAGTTATGAGCATGTGCTCTGATGGGCCAGAACTAGGCCATGCACCCACCCTAAGTGCCTGCGGATGGGTGAGTCTTTCCTGAATGGCGACACAGTGGTTCCCCACAGAAAATGGAGACTCTTAATCCAGAAGAATTGGAATGAATATTGGGGAGAAATAGAAAAGAAAGTCTACAGGAGTCCACTACCTGTGCTTGCCACATGCTTGTTCATAGAGAGTCATTGAGAAAAGGCTCATGAAAATGCCTTGAAAACTTGAGCACCATGCAGGTATCCGTGGTTGTCTCTTCTGTGGCATTCTGTGTGTATCAGATAGGACTGTTAATTACATGGGTATGTACTGGGTTAGGCCAGAGCAGGTTTCCCCCACTTTTTCTAGTAATTATCTCTTTACTAGAAAGACTACAGGGTAGATTAAGATGAGTAACTCAAAGGAAGTGGTGAAGTGGACTTGGGGCATGTTGATGAGACAGAATTCCTGTCCTCAGGAGCTTGGGGATGGAGTGGGACCTGGATTAGGCTGTGACCAAGGAGAGCAGCTGAAGCCCATTTGCTTTCCTTTGACTGAGTTACCAGCTAGCGAGCCCATTGCTGTGGCTGGGTCTGGAGAGGTGGCGGTGGAAGCCACCTCAGCGAAGGGGCGGAAGCAGAGTTGGAGATGGTGGTGGAGGCTGTGTGGTCCTCCTATTCGCCTTTCTCAGCAGGTGTCTTTGGACTTATTTTCTTCCTGACCTGTGGCCATGGGGGTCCATCCTCCCTCCCTGAGTCTCGGCCCCACTCTCCTTTGCAGGTTTGACAGCAACGCCTCTGCCAGCTCCTCCAGTAACGAAGGTGACAGTGACCGGGATGAGAAGAAAAGGAAACAGCTTAAAAAGGCCAAGATGGCCAAGGATCGCAAGAGCCGCAAGAAGCCTATGGAGGTGTGGCCTCTCTTCTGAATGGGAGGGTGCTGGGTGGCCATTGTCTGACTTCTGTCACCACCAGTGGGGCCTCTCGATTAGTTCTCCTGGGATTGCTTTTTGTAGCCAGTGATTTTGGCCTCGAGGAGTATCTTGGAAATGTTCTTCTCTGGTCCTTGACATAATTAGCTTCTGGGATATCTGAATAGGAAACAGGCTTTGTTCCAGGAGAGCAAAGAAAGGGGCCCCTAATGAGCTGGGCACTGGGGTGCAGAGCTCTCATGGTCCCTGTCCTTAGGGAGCTCTCAGTGTAGTTTGATGCTGTTTAGTCCTTTCTCCATTTTGTCCCCAGGTAGGTGATCCACATAATTGCTTTGGGAGAATGTGGGGGTCTGTGGGAAACAGGTGGCTGAAGGCATTGGGTGGTTGTGCAGGTGAAGAAGGGCAAAGACCCCAATGCCCCCAAGAGGCCCATGTCTGCCTACATGCTGTGGCTCAATGCCAGCCGAGAGAAGATCAAGTCAGACCATCCCGGCATCAGTATCACTGATCTTTCCAAGAAGGCAGGCGAGATCTGGAAGGCAATGTCCAAAGAGAAGAAAGAGGTGAGTAGCTGCAGAGATGAGGGGTGGTGAATCTTGTAATTGAGAAAGGGGGCAAGGGGCCGTTGGCAGAGCTTTTCTGTATGGGTTTTGCCTGCATCAGGGAAGGGATCTCATTCTCTGTTCTCTCTCTACCCCCCTCCCATGGTGTGTGTGTGTCAGGAGTGGGATCGCAAAGCTGAGGATGCCAGGAGGGAATATGAAAAAGCCATGAAAGAATATGAAGGGGGCAGGGGTGAGTCTTCTAAGAGGTGAGTGTTGGGAACAGAATGGCCCAGTAACTGCTTTTTTTGGCAAATATTTTTGCAGGTCCAAGTTGAGAATTAGGGTGTTAAAGGTAATAGAGATACCTCTGACTGCAGTATGGCAGTGCTTCTCAAATCTGGGTGGGCAGTTGCCCAAGTATGGGTAATGTGCTGGATAAATATGGCCCATCTTCCTAGAGGGTCAATTTTATATGAAGGTATGGGATATTTAAATACATATTATTTTATCATTCATGTAATTAATTTTTAAAGATAAAGCAAGAGATGTCAGATAAGTATAAATAAGTTTTGCCTGTGTCCAGGTTATGACCCCTACGTCTTCTGCTTTTCCTTGGGGCCCTTGGGGCTGACATGGCTGGCTGTTGACGTTTATAGTGCAGTATGGCTGGGACCTAGAGAGGCCCTGTTAAAGGCCTTGATGAGCCTGAAGGCCTAGCCCCTTTGCCCTCTTGCTAATGTAGGGACAAGTCAAAGAAGAAGAAGAAAGTAAAGGTAAAGATGGAAAAGAAGTCAACACCCTCCAAGGGCTCATCATCCAAGTCGTCATCAAGGCAGCTCAGTGAGAGCTTCAAGAGCAAAGAGTTTGTGTCCAGTGACGAGAGCTCTTCAGGAGAGAACAGGAGCAAAAAGAAGAGAAGGCGGAGTGAGGTGCGGCAGGAGTTTGGGGGCTGGGGCCCGGCGGGGTGAGGGGCATCTGAGTTTGGGGGGGGGGGGTGGCAGATGTTTCTGGGCTGAGGTTTGTGGCTGGTCCATAAGAGTCCTGGGAGGGAGTGGATAGGTGGAATTCTGGGGTTCTGAAGGCTGGTGTTGGAGTTTAGGGATGGGGATAGAGAACTGGGGCCCTTCACCACTGAACAGTGCCAGGAGGGCAACTGGGATTCTACCTTTCCCCTAAAGAGACATTTGGTTTTTCAGGACTCTGAAGAAGAGGAACTAGCCAGCACGCCCGCCAGCTCAGAAGACTCTGCGTCGGGATCCGATGAGTAGAGGAGGCAAATTCTCTCTCCTTGGGCTTGTCCTGTCACCCCCCAGCCTCCCCACCCATGTTTTTGTACCAGTTTCTCATACGAAATGTAGCCTTTGGATTCTGCCATCGGAACAAGCTCTCCTGGGGGGTGCACTTCACTGGGACAGCGGGGGTGTCTTACTCCCCTGATGCTTCACAAGGATGGCTCTTCATAGTTCGGGGAGAGACTGGGTGGGAGGCAGGGCAGTGCTGGGTTCAAACCCTTGTCCTCCTTTCCCGACCTGAGGGATATAGCTGCTTGTCCTGTTCAAGTTGCTGCCACAGGGGTCATGTGAGCTCAGGCCTGTAGCTCCTAACTGGGGCCTATTTCTACTTTTATTTTGTATTTCTGGTCTGTGGAAAAAAAGATCATTTAATAAAGGGAACTGACTTTGGAAACCATGTCCTCTGCCTTCTCTGTAGCCCTGCTGTATTGCTCTCCCTGTTCTTGGTGATGTTTACCATCCGCTCTGATGGGCAGGGCCTGCTGGCCGCGGGAATCCAGTCTTCAGGTACATCCTGTTCTGTTCCCGGCTGGACGAGCATTGGTTTTCACCCTCCTCTGCCGGGACGGGCCACCGGAGAGTGTAGAAATGAGAGCTGATCTGATTAGGAAGCCGCTCTCACAGTTCCACTCCATTAGCCAAGCTGCGGGGGGGCGGCTGCGGGCTCCATCCTCAGTCACCGAGAGGCAAGGGTCTTCCAGGCCTCGGTTAATGGAATCAGGATCGACTGGCCGCTGCCACCAGGAGAAGGAAACCTGAGCTGGACGGTTGGATAGACGGGTGGGGGTGGGGTTACAGTCCGATGGGGGTGCAGGAGAGGAGTGGAATGCGGTGGAGCTTGGCAGGAAAAGGGGCGCACCAAATCATGAAGTCAGGAAGTTTGTATCTAGGGAGCGGGCATAACAGGAGGTGAGTGAGGGGGATCGGAGAGGAAAATAGAGCTACAGTCTTCCGCACGGCGGCTCTCCATCTGAACTGGCACACGTGGGATGGCCACGTGGCATCGGCTCCCAGGTGTCGCCACAGGAAGTCTCCCGCGGGCCGCGGTTCCCTTCTTTCCCGCCGTGACTCTATGGTGCCGCAATCAGTTCGGGCCGCGGGGCCTGAGGATGGCGCCGTCGCCTTAGGTTTCCTCTCTAGGCCGTCGTCTCGGTGGCCATTTTGCCCCAACACTATTAGCGGCTGAATTGCGTCAGTTTCACCGGGTCGGATCCTGGGGCGGGTCCCTCATTTGCGAGCCTCATGAATAATTGAGTGCCGGGGCCGCGCCTGTTTGCATACGGTCAGGCGAGCTCGGCACGGGCTTTCCACTCCGGGTTTCCATTGGCTCATGGATATTCATGAGGCGCTCGGGGGCGTGGTCCTGGGCGGGCCCGGGGGCGGGGCCCCGCGGCGGCTTGTTCTGGCTGGGTTGGCGGTGACGGCGGCTGCAGCGGCGGCGGTGGCGGAGAGTGGCGTCGGGGCGCCGAGCCCGAGCCGAGCGGAGCCGGATCCCGGGGGAGCGCGTGAGTGCGCGGGGGCAGGCGGGAGGGCGAAGGAGGGGGCGGGGTCCCGGCTTGGGGGCGGGGGAGAGGCATGGAAGGAGTGGGCGCTTTCCAGCCAGGATCTTAGGTTGAGGTGGAGCTGGGGCGGGGGGCCGTGAGCAGGAAAGTTTGCAGGGGCCAGGGGCGCGGAGGAAGCGAAGGGCACGTGAGAGCGGGCCCGAGTGCGCGGGGGCGGGGGTGCACGGCCTGCAGCTCGTGCTGGCTGAGCCAGAAGAAAGGGGGGAAGGGGCGAGGACTTGAGGCGGGGCCGGGGGGGTGGGCGGAGCTGTGAGAGGGACCCTCCCTCCCCCTGCTCCCAGATCCGCGCCAGCCCCCTCCCCCGGACCCCTCGGCACGCCCCCAGCCCCCCAGACCGCCCCCACCCAGTCTGTGCCCTCGGTCCCTCGTCTTTTCGCCGGCTGCTTCGCATCCCGCGCTCTGGTCTTCCGCTTCTGCTGCCGCCGCCCCCGCCCCCCCCGCCCCCCTCCTCTCCCCTCCTCTCCTCCTCCTCCTCGGCTGCTGCCGTCCCCTCTGTCCCCAGCTTTCCCACTGGGCCTCTCCAGACGGCCCCTCACCCTGGCTGTTCCGTCTTCCGTTGGCCCTCCCTCCTCCAGCAGTTCATGTGCCATCCCTGCCGACCTCTCTGGGTCCGGGTCCGGGCAGAGATCCTAGGGTCCAGAGGGGCGACCCCGCTTGCGCCGAAGTCCCTTTGGGCCCCTGCCCCGGCTGGAACTGCCCGACCTCTCCCCAACCCTTGCAGCCCCCGATTCCTGGGGTGGGGAGTGCTCAGTGCCGCTGTGATTCTGCAGCCAGGGCTCTGGCACCTGGGTTTCCTGACGGGGGCCTGTGAGCTGCGGTGGGATCCCCTCGGCTGGGGAAGCCAAGCCCCGCTTCATTGCTGCGCCCTCATACTGCAGAGGTGTCCCTCAGGCCCCCAGGTGAAAGCGTTTTTCGGTGCTGGGCCAGGTTGTCTCCATTTCTAATCACCCACACCATGTTCCATGTAATAATGTTCAAGGACAAGGAAACAGTCTTGTGTTTTAATTTTATTTCCCCTATCATGGGCACCTCCCCCATGCACACTTGGCCTGGCTCTGCACAGTTATTCACCCACCCATAGTGAGCGGTGCGCCCTGCAAGTTGGCTGACCAAGGGAATGGACAGTCTTGGGTTTCTCTACCCTCTTCTCTCTGCTCCCTCTCATCTTTGAAACAAGCTGAGGCAGGGTCAAAGGTGAGGGGTGGGTGGGTTTTGCAAATGTTGGGCATTAGAGGGCCCTTCTTTGGATTTGGCGCTATCTTCCCAGACTAGGAGTGGGTGACTCTGAGGAAGGCTGTGCCCATTGCCGTTTGGAGGGGGTTAGATTTTTCATCAGGGGCTCTGTGCGTACCACGTGTTAGGAAACATCCCCCTTCCTTTGGAACTGGAGGGAGGAGCACTCTGTCCCCCAGGCTGGAGAGCCTGGGGTGGGGGTGGGGGGTGTTGTGGGTGGGATGGTGCTTCAGGAGCCAGGATGAGAACTGAGGAGGTGGTGGAGTGTCTGAGGAGCAGGTGACATGACTGGGCCCTGTGGGAGAGAAGGCATGGTCTGGGGAGAGGAGGAGGTGGTTACCAAGGATGTTAGCTCATTGGTGACACTGACTGGAACTGCATTCATAATGGCCAACATTTATTGGGCACGTGTTATGTGCTAGGCATTATGCTAAGCAGTCTGCATGCATCCTTTCCCCGTAAGTCTCCCAACAGTCACACTGACTCCACTTTTCACCTGGGGAAACCGAGGCTTAGAGAAGTAAGCACTGTGCCTGAGGGCACACAGCTAGAGGCGGGTAGACCCACCCAGCATTGAATCAGACCCCAGTCTCCCTCCTGGTTCAGGCTTAGAGGAGGGACACCAGTGACTTCTATAGGGCTGTGCCACTGGGTTTAAAATTTTCTTCTGCCCCTCAAAACCCCTCAGGCCAATCCTAGGCCAGCGAGGGCCACCCAAGTATCACGAGTGCTTAGGCTGTGGCTGTCCTACCCTGACTGTCCTAGAAGGGGAAACCCCAGGAGTCTTCCCCCCCTCTCCCCCAGGCCACCCCGCCACCGGATGTTCTCAAGCCCTGTCCCATTCTCCCAGCCCAGCCTGGGCCGGCTCCTCCTTCCTCTTGGCACGGCTCTGGAAATCCAGTGGGAGGCCATTGCTATGGCAACAGGACTAGGCCCTGGCTTTTACCTCATCAAATTCCGTGCTGAAGCCAAAGCAATTGAGAAATTAAAGAAAAAAATGTATTCCAGATGTTTACTTCTTATTCCTTATTTTTCCGTGTTTGGTTGAGGCAGCTCTGAGGGAGGCGGGATTGGGGCAGGGATGTGGACGGAGGAGGAGGAAGGGGGGAGAGGGAACCACTCCCAGCTGCAGGAGGGAGGGAGGGAAGGAGGGTGAGCGGGAAAGGGAAGGCAGGCTGTGGGGTGGAGCCCCAGGTCGGGGAGGAGCGGGTTTTTCCCGTCTCCCATGAAGTGATTCACGAAGAGGCTTCAGACTCTGGGGCCCTCTTGCTCTGCCCCTGAGTAGATACCTCGAGCAGGCTGCTGCACCTGAGGGGGGCCCTGGGAACAGTAAGTGGGGTGTCTTGGAGAGCTCAGCAGGGGAGGGAAGAGTAGGCAGCTCCCTGAAGCTCCAGGACTTTGTGGCGAGGAGACCAGAGTTAGAGAGTGATCTGGGAAGAGTTGAGGATGGACTGCTGGGGGCCTCCCTTGACCTCCCACCCGCTCTGAAGTTCCCTCTTCCTGTCCCACACTCTGCCTCTGCTAGAAGTAGCAGGCTTCCCTTGGCCAAGCCAACTGCCAACGCCCAACCCTCTCGCCTTCTCCCTCGTATTTCCCGGGTCTTCGGCTGCCCCTACTCACACCCTCTGCTTCTCAATTCTCATGCAGGTTCTGCCGAATGTGATGAAAGTGTCTGTTCTCAGGGAAGGCACAGCCATGGCTTCCCCACCACCCCGGGAGATGGAGGAGGAGCTGGTATCTGCTGGCTCTGAGCCAGGTAGGTGCCTGTGGGTGCAGGGTGGAGCCGGGTGGCCGGGAGGGCAGTGAGAGGGGTGGAGGCTGAACCCGCATTCTGTCTTGGAAGGGCGGGGCGGGGGGAGTGATGATTCTGTTGAGGTGGGAGGGAGGAGTGCAGGATGAGTTGGGAAGGTTCTCAGTTCCTGGTAAGACCCTTTAGAACAGTTAGAGGTCTTAGATCTACAGCAGATAAGAACAAGCTAACCTTCAAAATGATGTGGGTAATGCGAGTATTTTTCGAGGAGGAGGCGGGGGCCTCGATGAGAAGTGACGTGTACCTATAGGGATTTGAACCCAGGCCTCCTGGCTCCTGTCTAGACTCCTTTCTTAGGCTGAGCCGAATGAGTGGATGATAGAGGTTTCTGTTAGGAGGGCCACGGCAATGAGTAATCCCAAGGTCTTTTATTTGGCTTTGGAATGCCTTATATAGAAGGTAGGTTCCTAATCTTGTTTTCTTTTCCTGCAGCAGATTTACTTCTGTGTGGGTTAGGTCAATAATAAGTTTGCATTCCTCATCACACACCTGGGGAGGTGGCCTGGGTGTGTCCTGGGGGAGGGACAGCCAGGAGGCAGAGTAGGGAGGCTCAGCTGGGATAAAAGGTTTGCTGTGGACGGCAGGATGGTAGTGTCATGTAAGAGGACAGGACTAGATTGGAGAAATGTTGGGCTGCGGGCTCGATTATGGGTAGGTAGCATCCGTTTATCGGCTCATTTGTTCATTCATTCATTCATTCATTTAGTAATAACGTGTTAGATGCAGAGTAGGGTACAGGGACAAATAAGGTGTCAGCTGGACCCTTAAATAGCTTTAGCGTACAGGAGGGATTGAATAAACATTTTGAGAATTTGGAGACAGAAGGTGCTTCTGGGATAGGTATGGTAAACCAAGGAAGGCTTCATGGAAGAGGTGACATTTGGCTTGTGCCTTGAAGGCTGCAAACATCTTGAGTTAATAGGGAGGAGATGAAGAAGTCTACATCCTGGTTCTTCTGACAGCCTCCCCAACCAACCCTTTCCTTTTGGTAGGTGACCCTCGGGCCAAACCTCCTGTCAAGCCCAAACCCCGGGCCCTGCCTGCCAAGCCAGCCCTGCCTGCCAAGCCCAGCCTGCTGGTGTCTGTTGGGCCGCGGCCACCCCGGGGTCCTCTGGCTGAGCTGCCTTCTGCCCGGAAGATGAACATGCTGGCAGGACCCCAGCCCTACGGTGGCACCAGGCGTCCCCTTCCCTTTGCACCAAGACCGCCGGCCGAGACGTCTACTGGAGGAGAAGCCACCCAAGAGGCTGGGAAAGAGGAGGCTGGGAAAGAAGAGATGCCTCCATTGACACCCCCAGCTCGATGTGCTGCCCCAGGGGGTGTGCGGAAGGCCCCTGCCCCCTTCCGTCCAGCCTCTGAGCGCTTTGCAGCCACCACAGTGGAAGAGATTCTGGCCAAGATGGAGCAGCCGCGGAAGGAGGTCCCCACCAGCTCTGACCGCCTCTGGGGCTCCCGCCTCACCTTTAACCACGATGGTAGCTCAAAATACGGCCCTAGGACCTATGGTGTGGCTACTGGTCCTGTGGATGAGGATGGTGGGACCCTCTCCAGGGAATGGTCCCAGGAGGGGTCTGCGAAGTCTCCCACAGAGTGCCCTGAAGAGCACAGCCAGACCCCCGAGGAGAGGTGAGGGGCGGGAGGCCGTTGCGTTCTGGAGGATGAAGTAGGTGGCCCCATCTGGGACTGTGACCTTCGCTGTTAGGTCCGTTGTGTGCTGTGAGTGCAGGCAGGCCCCGGTCTAAGTTACAAAGCTTTCCCAGCAGACGGTGTTATGACTAGATTCTCCTTACAGTTATAATTTTCTTTAGAGTTGATGGGCATTTATGGAGAGTTCAGATGCACAGTATGGAAGTTTCTTTTTAATGCCAAGAGCTGAACTTTGCCTCATTTAATCCACAGCCATTCGGTTTAGTGAAGGGAATATTAATGTTAGAGATGAGGCAACTGAGATTCAGAAGTGACTTCCCATGGTTCCTCAGCAACTAAGACAGAGCTGAGGTTTGAATTCATGTCTGTTTCCAAAGCACACGTGCTCTTAGCTGCTGGCTCCTACTGTGTACGGAGCAGTGTACCAGGAGGTGCTGGTGTCTGATGAGAAGGGCACGGTCTGCCTGCAGGAGTCTGATGGGAGAGATAAGATGTGAACACACCTTGATACCAGGCCAGCTAGTGTCACTGAGCAGAGATTACGGCCGGCTGGAGACTGTTGAGTGTAATACCCTTCTCCAGAGTTCTGCCAGTGCAGAGGAGGCTGGCCAGGAGGTGCCTCTTGGGGTGGTGGGCACAGGGGCTTGGAGGAAGAGGCCGAGGGATCTCAAGTGCCATCCCCAGGACAGGGAGTGCCTGCTTGAGGCACTGTTGACCCCCTGGGCTCTTGGTGGCTCTGCGGGGCCCAGAGGCTCCCCTCCCCTTCCTGCTGCTGTGAAGGGCAGGGCTGCTGTGGTTGGGGCTGAGCCCAAAGCTGGAGGCCTCTGTGCTATCCTGCCCTCCAGCCCAGCCCTTTTCTCACCTGAAAGTACCTGGAGGGCAGGGCTCTGGATTAACCCTTCTCTGTCCCCGGCCAGGGCTCCCAGGCTGGGTTCAGCCCTCTATCCTCCCCTCCCTGGCTTCAAGCAGAGCTTCAGAGGAACAACTTCAACCTTGGAAAATCACTCTGCCCCCCTCCCTCCCCCTGTGCTCGCTCCTTCTAGAAGTATTGGCAGGGTAGTCAGGCCAGCTGTACTCTCCGTGGCCTGAGGAGAACATTAACCCCTTAGGGGCTAGGGGAAGGAGGGTGATCTTTTAGGGAATCACTGGGGAGTGTGGGCTTCCAGGATGGTTTTTCTAAAGGGATTAGGGGAGTTTAACCCTGGGTATAAAGGTAGGGAATAGGCACTATCTCCTGGGCCATTTTCACCATGGAAACTGGATAGCTTCTCTGTCCCCTGTGGTCCCAGGCAGGGCTCAGGAGGAAATGCCTGGGGCGGTTAACTTTGGGTGCTGCTAAAGTCACTTAGGCAGACTCTTAACATAGCTCTGCCCCCTTTTTCATCTGTCACGGGCTTCTTAATACTGTGCCTACATTTCCTGTCTTTCTCCCTCCCAGGAACCCTGCTTTGGACCGGGCCTTCAATGGGGACCTGGCTCAGCCGGGCAGCTCTGAGCCACCTACTGACGTGAGTTACCCTCCGTTATGACTTGGACTCATAGTAATTTAAAGCTGAAGGGTCACCTGAGGTCATCTGCTCTGCCTCTTTCTGGTTCCGATGGGGCACTGAGGGTCATGGAGGAGGTGATTTGCCCAGGGGCTGGCCCTGGGACTCAGGTTTCTTGACTCCCGGGCCAGTGCTCTTGATCCAGTGTGGTTCAGGCCATGAGGCTGCTCGTTATAAGAATAATTATCCATTGTAACTGCCATCAGTCACGCACCTACTGTGTGCTGGGCATGTGCCAGGAATGTTGACTGGCTTAATCCTTGTGATCACTGCAGCTAGTGGGCCCTGTTAGTCACAGGTGAGAGGCTCGCCGAGGTTAAGTAACTTACCCAGGGGCTGAGGCAGGCTCTGAATTGTCTGACTCCAGCGCTCTCCTGGAAGGACTCAGTACCTTCCTGGCAAGGAAGCCAGGCTGTCCGGGTCGCAGGGAGAGGGGAGCAGCGGGGTGGCAGTGAGGATTGAGAGGTGATGACTGATCGCCTGGAACCTCGCAGGCCACTGGGAGGACCTTGGCCTGAGTGAGGGGTTTGGAGGAGAGTTGTAAAGAGTCACCGTGCCCGCTTGGTTGCAGGGAGCTAAGAGCAGCAGCAGGGGCCAGCTGGGGGCTGTTTGAGTAATCCAGGGGTGAGGTGATGGACCCTGGAGGCAGCCTGTGGTGAGATGGTGAGAAGTGGTCACTCTGGGTGGAATTTGAAAGTCAATTTGGGCACAGGGTTTGCAGATAGGTTGATGGCAGATAGAGAGAGCATGCACACAAGAGTCAAGGATGACGCCAGGGCTTTTGGCCTTAGCAACCGGAAGGACCAGGTTACCATTTAGTGAGAGGGGACTTGAAGGGTGAAGTGGGATGGGAGGAGATGGGAGGAGTTTGCTTCTGGATTAGTTGAGTTTGAGATGTTTTTTTCGACATCCACATGGAAATGTTGAGTGGGCAGTGGGCAATTTGAGTCTGGAGCTCCAGGGACTCGTAGTTAAGACCGGCTGAGATCACCAGGGGAGTGGGTGAGCCTCTGGAGGGAAGAGGACTGAGGCACAGACCAGCCCAGCCCAGCCCAGCTGAGGAGAGGATGGAGGAGAGGATGGAGCAGCCGCCAGGTGGGAGGAAAGCTGGCGAGGGTGGAGTCATGGAGGCTGTAGGAAGCCAGCTTCCATGATGGGAGGAAGAAGGCGGGAGGAGGGAGGGGAGAGGAGGGTGGAGGGAGGGGAGAGGAGGGTGGAGGGAGGGGAGAGGAGGGTGGGTCGTCCGGCAGATGCTGCTGCAGGTCAAGGAAGGTGCACTGAGAGTGGGACTTAGCTACAAGGAAACATCGTGACCTTGACCAAGAGCAGTTAGGTGGCAGGGTGCAGGAAGCAGCCTGTTTGGGGCTACAGTAAACGTAGACAAAGTGTTCAAGAAAGTGAGCGGTAGCTAGAGAGAGAGGTGAGGGCAAGAGTGTTTTTCTTCTTTTTAGGGTGGAAGAAGTCAGAGCAGTTTGGGCTGATGGAAATGATCCAGGAGCCGAGGAAAAAATCAGTGACGCAGGGGAGAGGGGAGGGGCTGGCCTTAGCCCCGAGCAAGGACAGTTCACTATCTGGGATCCTGTCAGGTAGCAGGGTGTGGGCCTGCCATGCCGTGGCCTCTGTATTCTCAGGAAAGCAAGGTCGCAGCTGTGAGAGGATGGGAGATGTCTGAAGTTTGAAAGCATTGGCCCCCATCATCCCACAGCATCCACCCTTTTTAAGTCCTGTCCCGAGAGGCCAAGTGCGCGAATCTTACTTACTCCTCTCCTAAGTCTGTGAGGGGGACATGGTTGCCACCAACCCTAATGACAGAAGGGGAGGCTGAGGCTCAGAGCTAAGTCGAGTGACCACCATACGGCAGGGCCTACAGCTGACGAGAGGCGTGCGGGTGACTCCGTGCCTGAAGCCCGGGGCCTGCCTGCTTCCGTCGGCGGCGCTGGGACCTGGGGGTGCCCCGAGCAGGGTGGGCAGCTCCACATCCCTGAGCGGCTCCTGGGAGCTGCCCGGGGCTTGGAGTCCTGCTCTGAAGCAGAACCCCACATGCCCGGATGGTCAGATTTCCAAATGTCCTTTCCCCTTTGTAAAGCCAGTGTTCTTGACCATGAACCATGCGCTCTTCGGAGATCCTTCGACGAGTGTTGGGATAGGTGGGTGGGAGTGTGTGACCCACCTGAGGTGGTGGGGTCATACTGTGTGAGTAGGGCTGTGTGTGTTTTCTACGGAGAGGGGCTCAAGGAGGGGGCTGAGAACCTTAGGAAGTCCTAATACTTGGGGCCTTTCCCAGCTGTCCTGAGAGGCCCCCAGTTTTCTCCTGTCTGTGGAGTGAGAGGTGAAAAAGCAGCTGACCCGTGGTCTATATGGGGTTGGCAGGGGTCTCCTCCAGCTACCTGAAGGTGCGTGATGGCTCTCAACCTTTCTCTTGCAGGTTTCCAAGCCCTGGGTCCCCTCAAGTCCAGGCCCCACCTCAGAGAATGGAGGGTTCACCAGCCCAGGCCTCCCTGCTGAAGTCTCAGGCCCAGCCCCTGGGTCTCCCCAACTTCACTCACCCCTCCAGCGCTCTCCCCGCCACTCGCATCTTCCAGAGGCCCAGAGCCCCGCAGCTTCCAGGCCTTCTCCCTGCCTCCCTGCGACCCCAGCATCCCCAGTCGTGGTCCTGCCAGATGAGGGCACCTGCCATGCCCCTAGCCCAGGGCTCCCTGCTTCGGGAGCCCCAGATGCCCCCAGACCCAGTAGCCCGCCCGTGGAAAAGGTCTCGGGGAGCCACAGCCCAGAGCAGACTCCGGCCACCTCACCCCGGCCCCCGATGGAGGGGGGTGAGTTGCTTGATCCTGATCGGACGTTCCCATCTGGTGAGGAGGTGGCCAGGGGTGACGCAGAGCTCCGCCCCACCGGCCTGGGTCAGCGCCGATTTTCTGAAGGTGTGCTCCGACTGCCCGACCAAGAACAGAAGCTGGGGGGCTCGCTGGCTGACCTGCTCCAAACCCAGGGGGGCCAGTCAGCCCTGGAGCGTCCCTTTGGGTGTGGGACAGAGTCCAACTGGAGCTTGTCACAGTCCTTTGAATGGACCTTCCCCACTCGGCCTTCGGGTCTAGGGGTGTGGCGGCTGGACTCCCCACCTCCTTCCCCCATCACTGAAGCCAGTGAGGCCGCAGAGGCTGAGGCTGCAGCTGCAGAGGCTGCGGCTGCGGAGGCTGAGGCTGTGGCTGCGGAGGCTGGGGCCACTGCGGCTGGTGACTTGGCTGCATCCAGTGGGGAGGGAGCGTTCCAGCAGGGGCGAGGGGTCTGGTCAGCTCCAGAGGGACCAGGAAGGCCTGGTTCTGGGGTGCAGACAGATGATTCAGGGATCTCCCCAAACCAAAAGGGTGATGGGGAGAGTCAGCCTCCATCCCCAGCTGATCCCCTCAAGCCTCTGCTAACAACAGGGGGCCCACCTGAACCGGCCTTGCTACAGGCAGAGGAGAGATGTGAGGAGCAGGAGCCCCTGGCCGGACAAGAGTCCCCACTCCCTCTGGCCACCAGGGAGGCCGCCCTGCCCGTCCTGGAGCCGGTCCTGGGGCAGCAGCAGCCAGCACCCCCTGACCAGCCCTGTGTCCTCTTTGCTGACACCCCTGGCCCTGGGAAGGCACTGCCTGCTGAGGAGGAGGCTGTGACCCTGGCCCGGGCTGTGACTACCCAACCCAGGACAGAGGCTCAGGACCCCTGTAGGGCGTCCCCCGAGCCTGCAGGTCCTGAAAGCAACTCCCGCTGGCTGGATGCCCTCCTGGCTTCACCACCCCCCAATGCCGGCAGTGCACGGCGGGGAGCTGGACCTGAGCTGAAGGGTGCACAGACCCCAAGTGCCTGCTCCGAGGTGAGGACGGGCACAGGGCGGGCGGGGGCCTCGGGATGGAAGCCAGGGCTTCAATGGGCTTCGCTCTTTCTGAATGGACTTCATTTGTCTAGAGCTCGGGGTACAGCTATGAGCAAGGCACCTATGGACATGTCCCTCACAGCTGTGCAGTCTGGCAAAGCTGTTGGCAGGGGCTAGGGATGCTGCTTAAGTTCAGAGTGTGTACCAGTTCCAGCATCCACTAGCTGAGTGGCTTTGGGAATGTGCCCTAACCTCTAAATGTCAGAGTCCTTTCATAATAACATTAGGGTTGTACTGCAGGTAAAGTGAGATGTGGAACATGCCCTGAGCTTGGCACATACTGAGCGTTCAAACCTTTATTAGGACTAGTATTGTGAAAGGCAACGGAGTGTGGCCACTTAGAGCGTGGGTGCTGGAACCTGACGGCCTGGGTTCATCTGGCTCTGTTATTTGCCCAGGTGTGACCTTGAGCAAGTTACTGTCCTGCCTGTGCCTCAGTTTGTGCAGCTGTAAAATGGGAATAACAGTCATGAACTCTACCTAATAGGGTCATTGCAAAGACTAAAGGAGCTATGATACCTATAAAGTACTCACAGTGGCACCTGGCTCATCATGAGTACTTAGTACATCATGACTTTGTTTCTCTCCTTTTGATTCCCAGGGACTCCTCGGCTGGGCTCAAAGTTATTGCCGTTGAGCTCAAGGCCTGCCTTGTAGACAGGCAGCCGAGGTCCAGAGCCGGCGAGCCTTGTGCAAGATTACCCAGCGAGTTGATGGCTGGGCTTGGGCCCAGTGCCCTTTCTCCTTCCACATTTCCTGTCATTTTAAGGGCTGGAGTCCAGGTGGCTTTTGAAATGTATTTTTCTAGCCCAGCCTGGGCTGGCAGGGGCGGGACTGAAAAGGAAGGTGGAGCCAGGGGCCTTTTGAGGGAGCTGGTGGCAGAGGAGGAGCAGGAAGGAGTTAAGACCCAGCTCGTTCCTGCAGTAGGTGTGTCTGTCCCGGGATGTGGGTGACTCAACTGGCTTCTGGGCGGGGCCACCAGAGCTGCAGCTGCTCTAGAGGGAGTAGGGCCAGGGTGAGCCCAGAGCCAGAGCCGCCTGCCGCCCGACAGGTCCGGGCGAAGGGGAATGCCCAGCCCTGCCTACCCAGCTGCCTGGGGTGGGTGCTGGGGGCAGAGGCCATGGCCCGGCTTGGGGATGGGGAGCACACCATGTCTGTCTTGGAGAGGCTGTTGGCCAACGCTGCCTTGCGGGATGAGGCCGGCCGGCTGCACAGCCCTGAGGCCAGGGCTCACCCGCCCTCAGGAGT